AGGTGCTTGATGTTGACGTGCGTCTGCTTCAAGTTGCTCTCGTTACCCCGTCGCTGACCCACTCCAGGGCCGCCATGTCATCTTGGAGATTCTAGACACTGCAGGCACCGAGCAATTCAGTAAGTCTTGACAGATGCCCCATGCACCCAGAAACCATGACTAACCTCAAGTAGCTGCCATGAGGTAACATACCGTCCGAGGCTCATTACAGCTCAAGACTTACACTCGATAGGGAACTATATATGAAAACCGGTCAGGGGTTCCTTCTGGTCTTCAGCATAACGTCGGCGTCTTCTTTCTGGGAACTGGCAGAGCTTCGGGAGCAGATACGACGAATAAAGGAAGATAGCAACGTTCCCATGGTCCTCATCGGCAACAAGTCAGATCTAGAAGATGACCGAGCAGTGCCACGCCCACGAGCCTTTGCAATCTCGCGTGAGTGGAATATACCGTACTTTGAAACCAGTGCTCGGAGAAGAGCAAACGTGGACGAGGCCTTTGTCGACCTCTGCAGGCAAATCATCCGCAAAGATCAACAGGAACGGTCGCGCATGGCCCCACCCGACTCACCGAGGCCTGGTCCAAGGTCCCGGACGCATACTGGAAGACCCAAGCGCAAGGGACACCGACCGCATTGCACCATCCTTTAAGTTACGATACCCTACGACGGACGACTGTACGAGTGGCAGTGGGCTTGCTGGTACAGGCGCTGTCATGACTCCATTCGCACCGTTCCTTCCAAGTTTCTCGGTTTAGATTTTTGGTACCATAGAGGTATTAGATCATCCGCTCACAGCGGCAATTAATCCCCTTTCATCATGGTTCTTCTGCCACATTCGCGTATCCTGAATTCGCCATCGGTCGCGTGAGGTTTTCGGTGATTGTTCGTATGAAAGTTAGACTTGTGTACATGTAGTCCAGATGTCGGCACAGACGCGACAAGTACACCTGTCCTCGCCCCTTGCCCCCACTTGGGCGAAGCTGCCAGGTCACTGCGGGTGGAGACATCTCGATGAGCTCTTTTCATGACGTGTTGGCTATCTGCATACGGCAATTTGTCTGCTTCCAGGCCACAGTATGCTTCCTGTGCAGCGGAGTAAACCCCTTCCGGGACCAAGTACCTTCCGGAACCGACGCCTATGGAACTCGGCTGGTCCTGCATTGCTACGGCGACCGCCTACTCTCGGGCTGAAACACGAGCGCGTGACATTTACGACTGTCCTCCTTTGCGGCAAGCGTTTGCGTGCTTTGTTTAGGCAGCTGTACTTGACGCAAGCTTGATGCAAGCCGCGGTCCATGGCCTGACGTCACTAGCGGGGCAATAGAGGGGCATCTTTCAGGCACACAGCGAATGCCAGATGAGAAACCCAATCGCCCATGACGCGATACGCATGATAATCACGATCTACAGCGGGATTTGCAAAAAGTGCCACCGTCTTCCTTGGGTTTGTGCGTTGCATGTGATGGTTCGTAGCTGCGGGTACTCGCCCACGCTTGCGTGGTCTAGCCCCCTCACCCAGAGCTCCTTCCCTATGACGTCACATCTGGAGCACTCAAACAGTGACGTATGTTTGTTTGTACTGCGTTGGAGTCTAGCGCTCAGCCCCTCCACTAGCCTGTATCTCCTACCCCTCTCACTCTACATAAATACCCTCACGCCCGACTCCCCTTTACTTCTCTCATCACACAACAAGCCTTCAACTCCTCTACTACACTCCACTTCCTTCAAACCAAACCAACCAATTACCCCAACACTCAAAATGTCTGCTCCCAACGCCAACAACCCCAACGAGGGCATCGTCGGCCAGGCCGTCAACTCTGTCAAGAACGCTGCCAACTACGTCTCCGAGACCATCCAGGGTCAGTCCGCTGAGGCCTCCAAGGAGGGCAACAAGCAGCAGGCCAAGGGCAACGTCCCCGGCCAGGACTCCCTCACCGACCGTGCCTCCGGTGCTCTCAACGCTGCTGGTGACAAGATCAACCAGGAGAAGCACGAGGGCTCCGCCGAGGCCAACAAGCGCTCCATCTAAGTACTAAGTACTTGAACGCTGGTTCGACATTTCTCTTCGGTATGTTCATACTTGTCTTCGGCATATACAATAGATTCTAATCATCATCAGATTCAGAACGATACCAACATTGATTATGAGCGATGAGCACTACGACTTTCGCCTGGTTACGACAGTACTATGAATTAATAGTCATAAGATACCAATAAATCTCTTTACAAACACTTTGATCGTTCTTTGCTGTGATATATTCTTACATGCCTGTGAAACAAATCTCCTGTAGCATCAACGAGTACAACATTGCTGAGATGAAGTAATCTAATCAACAAGATCCTGATCTTCATCAGAACACGTCTCATGCGGTTCCGCAAACTCCAAATGCACTAGTGAAACGTTCAGTGAGGATACGTTTCTCACACTCTAGACCTGCGACCTTTGGTGCTGCGGTAGTTCTGTGGTGGCACCATACAGCACTAAGACTACTTTTGGCAAAAACCTACATTAGTTTGCTCACTTCTCAAGTGGATGTGGTGTCGATCGTACATGGCCGGCTAGGGGTCACGATGTTATGTTTAATATGTTTAATATGTTGACGACTCTTTGTAAAAATACTCAGTGATTGTGCTAGCTAAATTGCTACATCTAGCTAGAATTTAAGCTTAACAACACAAAAACAATAGCATCGCTCAAGACATCAATTCGCGGAAAACAAAGGGTATCGAATGAACAGAAAAATGGGAAAGCCAGGTTTGGAAAGAGTCTGTGGGGGCTTGATCTACTTCGTTGGGATCAACTCTTTCTTCGCCTATCGTAGATGCTGCGGTACATGCGACTGTGGAGGGGTTGGTGTGGTACGTGGGCGGGGGCGTGGATATATTCGGTAATGGCGAAGAAATGCAGCGCTGATTTTGGACAGCCGAAAGATGCTGCTGGGGTTTGCAGCAAGTCGCACAAGGCATCGTAGTATGAGGAAGGAAACTCTGGGAATAGTTCATTGGGCGCGTCGAGTTCAAGAGTGGCATGGGACGGAGCGCATCCGAGACAAAAGGACTTTGAGATCCGGTCGGTATCTCCTCGCTGGAGCAAGCTCTTGACCTTGACGACGGCGGCCCCTAAGCAACCGTCTTGGACCCGTGAAGCCAAGACGCATCGTTCCCGTGTGAGATATCGATTTCAAAGCTGAACCGGATCTGAAAATGGCACGAATCCAGTCAGCAAATCTCTCTAACTCCCAGTCCCAAGTGTGGCAGAGGGGAGTAGAGAGAAGGCTATTAGACGTGCTGGTTAGCACGCCCAGTGTGTGTAGTCCTTGCCTTCCTCGTCTTCCAGAACATGAAACCTCCCACAATGGCCGAAATCAGCCAGAGCAACATGTTAGTCAACAGCACCCAGACAGCGTTCTTCATCCTGGTGATGTCCTTGTTACCCTCTGGGTTCTCGCTAATGTACATCTTGCCGAAGATGCCAAAGGCCACAAGATAACACAGAAAGACGAGCGCGTCAACGCCGAAGAAAAACCAGGACTTGAGCAGTATGAGAGCCAGAGAGCTGACGGCGCCAAGTGTACCGCAAACAACGGCCCATACCCATTTCGAGTCGACGTATTTCCCTTGCTTGCGCGCATTGTCTAGGTCGACAGCGTAGAGACCGATGACGGTGAGGCCCATGACGAACTGGAAGAATCGTAGGACAATGCGCAGGATAAGAGTGGGTGTGAGCGAGGCACCGAGAGAAGTTCCTAGGGTGGCTTTTTCGCCCCGCATGCTGCTACGTGAGAGGAATTTGAAGCCCATTGTTGCTAGGAAACTAAGCATTGTGTGGGTCAGCTAGGCTCAGTGGTTTGATGTGTGTATGTTTGGAAGATTAATAGGTAAATTCTTACGTTTTGTCGATGCGAAGGGTAGTCTTGTAAGATTGTTCGATTCGTACGTCGTGCGCGGACGGATGTCTCTTAATTCTTTGATGTTTTGTAGGGGTCCTTGGGAGTATCGGTGGTTGGTGAGGTCGTTATGGGAAGAGTGGGGAAGAAATAGTGCGAAGCCGTAGTAATTGACAACTCCTTTTTCGTACCGTGACAGAACTAACGTCGTTGTAGCTTTGCGTCGTGCAAAAATAAACTTCGTTGGCACACAGGGTCCTTGTTTTCCGGGGTAGTAACAATGTTACTGCTCCCTTCTCTGCTTCCAAGCTCGATGACGTCGTACTTGATCCTTGATGGTGATGGCACGTGGGTGGGATGTGGCTTCCAGGGTTTAATCAAATTTGTGCACGCGATTATGCTGTTTTGGTGCAAACTCTGGAAGGATCGGCAGAGGGAAGGGGCGTGTTGCGCAAGGCTGACTAGAAACACACGGCAAAAGGGGTATCGCGCTATCAGAAAGATGGACGGGTAAGACGCGGTGAAATAAAATCAATAAGGGATTGTCGCGACTGTCAAAGCCGACGGTGATGCAGAATGAACACGCGATAGAAAAGGCAGAGAGCGTTGGAGATGCGCCATTCACCTTGCTGTCGCATCTCTTTTGAATCTTTTTGCGAGGTACATCGTTACCCTAGACACCCTTTACAGCCATGCGTTGGCGCCTGGACGTGCTCTCAGCGCGCGCTGTGAACGTGTGGTTGAAGACCTGGTGACCCTGTTTCGAGGCGCTGACGTCGTTGGCGCCCGAGTAGCGTTACATCGGCGGCAGGGGTGTGCCACAGCGTGATTGGTCAACAATTGTCTATCAACTGGTAACATGAAACGCAACCATGAAGTCTGAGATAGCTTCGCTGTCGCACAAGACAGCGTATCATGAGTGACCTATGGACTGAAGTGATGTGTTGACAGTTTCGGCACCTGGAATCTTTGTTGTTTCAAGACCATTCCGCTATGGCACAAATATGTATGAGAAGAGTAACATTATCTTATTCTGAAGGGGCATCAATCGCCCGCGAATTCTGTTCGGCTCCTAGACAGTCACTCGTTCACCAGAAGACTTGTGTTTGTCCTCAAGGGCTGGAATACTTGTAGCCATATTGCTCCTTGGCAGCCTTGATCTGCTCCGCAAGCTTGTGCTCCTTCTCCGCAAACTCAGGGTCGTCCTTCATCTTCTGTATATAGGTGTCGTTTCCGAATCCGCTCTTGCTCGGAATCTCCAAGCCGCGTTGAACTGCAGGCCGTGCAAGTATGCGCTCCCACCACTTCTTCAGGTTGGGGAATGACTCCAGGTCTACACCAGAGATGCGAAGCATGTGGACCCAACCAAAGCTGGCAATGTCCGCAATGCTGAACTTGTTGCCTACGAGATAGTCGGACTTGGCCAGAGCCGTGTCAAGCACGCCGGCAAGACGTTCAGTCTCGCCTGTGTAACGCTGCATGCCGTAGGCGATGCGCTCCTTTGCGAAACGGTTGAAGTGGTTGGCCTGGCCCTGCATCGGGCCCAGGCCACCGTGTTGCCAGGCCATCCATTGCTCTGCGCGCGAGATATCGAGAGGATCGGAGAAGCTGAACTTGTGCTCGGGGTCGTAGTGGCGCGTCAGGTATGCAAGAATTGCGAGACCCTCCTGGACGGCGAAGCCACCCTGGTCGTGGTCGACAATTACACTAGGCAGTGGAGCGCAATGTCAGTACAAGCCTCAGACATGATTCGGAAGGCATCGTTGCTTACGGAATTCGGCCATTGGGGCCGAGCTTGGTGAACCAGGGCTCTTTCTGTGTGTTCTTGCTGATGTTGATGGACTGCCATGTGTAGTCTTTGCCATAGGCATCCTTTAGCTCCTCTAGCAGAATGCTAGCTTTCCATCCATTAGGCGTGCCAAAAGTGAGCAGCTCAATGCCCTTGTCCGCCTTCAATCCGGTGGGTTCTTGGTCCGACATTTCTGGAAGTATGCGCAGTAACGGCCGTGAGGTGTGGAAGTGCGATCGGGGGATTATGCGCGTCTGAGTGGAGAGGCGTGTGAAGTTCTTAAGCTGCGAGGATAGAGAGGAGCGTAATAGTGACATGAATAAGGCTAGCCTGCGCGCAAAGGAGGGGTTATATGCACAATGCGGGCAGGCGCATGTGGAGAGCTACCTCTTCCTAAGTGGAATTGCTTAGGAATCCATGACGTCGCCGCACCAATATCTACGGACATTGCATAAGCTTCGCACCTCGGTATGGTAGGTACGCCGAACGGGTCTCGTATACATGATAAAGGACCGCAAGTCTGGGAGTCGTGATAGGTATCGCATCCCAGAACGCGCTGCACATTGTCAGCTTCTGATTGTTTTCGTGACTAAGCGACTGCCAACGCCAGGATACCCAAGCGCCTGTGGTACCTCAACAGCTACTGTCATACATCAAGGCAATTTGATCAATATAGTTCTTCTTGAACTAGATGGATATGCCAATACTGTAGAGGTCTATTCGTATCAGACAGATAGGCAAAACGCTCGTTGAATTTCGGGGTACTCTTAGAGATACGTACATTGTGGAGTCAAGATGTGCTTAATAATTGCAGAGGATATCGACTCAATGCCCTCATCCGCTATCCCGTAATCTTTGGTGGTCAAGCCCGAAAGCGCTGCGGATACAGTCAGACTCAACACGTTCAGCAATAACAAGCAGGTCGTCTCGCATAGCCTCGCATGCGCTTACAAAGCTGTGACACTATGATACGCTGGATAATCCTAATGCGTTCTGTAGTAAACTTTAGAAAGGGTAAGCATGCTTCTATAGTAGCTGTAGTATAACCATGGGGCGTTGGTAGCCGATGAAGGATTGTAGAGCATCTTTACGATTATGTATGTCTATGTATTGATATACAAGCTGTATCCAAGTCTCATACTATACACCTCCTGTATACGACCGTACAACCCATGCGCAAGAGAGCAATTCAACGACACACTGCCGCACGTCATGAACATCAGTTGATCTTGTATTCACCTCCACCTCCACACCAACAGCGGCCCTCGCCTTCCCTCTCCACATGAATCACTAGATCCATGTTCCGATCCTTCAGGAACTGATGTGAACGGTCCCGTACGTCTTCCAGATCTGCCGCGCGGGAAGCAATGATGTGAATTGCGCCGAGAATGCGACGTTGTTTAGGCGCATGATCGTGATCGTGGTCGTGATGGTCATGGGAGTGTGAATGCGAATGTCCGTGGTCGTGAGAGTGATTGTGCGAGTGACTGTGACTGTGGCTGTGGCCGTGGCCATGATCGTGGGAGTGAGAGTGGTCATGTTCGTGGTGATCGTGAGGATGGTCATCATGCTTGTGTCCACCTCCACAGTCGTGGTCCTCTTTCGCATGTTCGTGAGCATGTGCTTCCGCATGAGCAGCGCCCTCATCTTCTAGCCAGAACTTGGGCACTGCATATCCGACCACGCCTCTTAGTGTGCCCAACTCTCCAAGAGTATTTCTGATGCCGTACTCAACGTCGTTTGGCAGACTCAGCATAAGTCTTGCGCCACTCGACTTGACAAGCGGAATGGCTGACAGGAAGATCAGGATTGCAATGATGCTAGATGCGATGGGGTCCCATCCAGACCAACCATAGTACTTTGTAAGAAGTGTTGAAATGATGACTGCAACAGAGCCGAGTGCGTCGGCGAGGATATGCAGAAAGATACCCTGCATGTTTTCGTTGTCGTGAGAATGTCCATGTCCATGATCGTGTCCTTCGTGCCCGTGGTCATGACCATGGCCGTGATGCGCGTGGCCGAAGGCTACAAGGCCGACGATGTTAACGATGAAACCAAGAATACTGACAACCAGAAGCTCGTTTAGACGCTGGAGCTCGTGACCTTCCCAGAGGCGTTCGAAGGCATCGAAGATGATCTCTACACTGACGAGCCTGGTTCAGGTTAGCATATACATGGGAAACTACGTATGTTGGTGACTTACAAAAGAAAAACGCCATTTGCAAAACCAGACAGTGTATCGACCTTGCCATAGCCATATGGAAAGCGAGCGTTGGGGCGCCACTTGCTCATCACTGCCGCTACCAGTCCCACAGCGAGACCAGCGCAGTCGAAGAGCATGTGGATACTATCCGTGAGCAATCCCAATGACCCACTGACAAAGCCGTAGAAGAACTGGACCATCATGAAGGAAAGATTGAGTACACCAAAGTATGCAATGCGTCGCGAGTCCCGCTCGATCAACACACTGTGTATAATGGAGCCTGGAGTAGTGCGGGCGATGAGGAACGCAGAGATTCTGGAGTGATTTCCATGTAGATGATGACCATGACTATGCCCATGGTCATGACCATGCGAATGCTTATGGCCCGCATGCCCATGATCGTGCACATGTGGCACGGGCGAACGAGTGTCAAAGCCGACCGCTCCAATCATCATAGCGCAAACCCAAGGGAATACAATCTTGAGATGACCAACTCCGTTGTGTTCCAAGAAACTCAAGGCGAATATGAAGATGCCGCTCAATCTAAATCCGACTTGTTTTTGGCTCCGTAAAGATGCTGGTAGTGATAGAAATACAAGCGCCGTCGTAGATGCAACTGATAGGGTTGAGAATGCCAGGCTGTGGTGCGACAAAGAGGGGGTTGCGGAAGAAACGAGTGAATACAGAATAGTCGTAACAGTGAGGACAAGGCCGGACACAATGGTGAGTAGCTGGTTCTCGGTGTTGCTCACCAAGGCTGATGAAGGCTTCGGCAGCGATGCGCGAGACGGCTTTTGAGTCATGTATGAGTCCTGGCTCTGTGGTCCGGTCATCAATGACCAGCCTGCTGTGGGAAGAGGCGGAGGGACTAGGAGGAGCGACACTAGAAGCGCCATGTAGCCGATCAGGCTGTCTGTGACGTTAGCAGAGGTCACCACATCTGCAGCCATGCTTAAGAAAAGGGCCCCGCATGTCACTTTTCTGGTCCTCAATGTCCGCCGGATATCGTCCCAAGGGGTGTGCTTCCCTGGTTTCTGGTCGAAGGCACCAAGTCCAGCGGCAACTGCCACCAATATAACCAATGCCGTCTTCGCTCCTCCTAGGTGTAGGGACGCGTAGAAGGGCAGTAATACGCTGACCATGTTGCTTGCCACGCGTTTCGGCGCATTGCTGATGTTGAATGTGCCCTTGTCTTCTTTCCGCCTGTCAAGTGGCTGTAGACTGGAGTTGACCTTGGCTGCCACGCCAACCAGCAACAAGGTCGCTGATGAGAGAGCGAGCGCATGTAGTAGTGGGAAGTCGCTTGTTGCTGTGGCAGGTTCGAGTTCGGGTGTGCGGTCTGACACAGCTTCTGATAGAGTCGAGGGCAGCTTCGATGCCTGTCCCACGCCGCTAGGGTATGCCAACGAGGCGAAGATATACGGTAGAGGTATGAGGAGCGCGGTCAGGGCCTCGGGAAGTTCTAGCCACGACCTGGTGTTGTATTAGCAGCGCTCAATCCGACCATGTCAAGAATGTCTTACGAAGAAACCGGAGGCGGGGGCAGATGCGCTGGAGACTCTTGTATAGGTGACACTGGTGAGAAGGCATATCCTCCAGCTGCGGGTGCCTTCCTCGCCGGTGAGCGGCCCAGATCTGATTCCCCTCTTTGTCGCCCTTTTGATCTTCCATTCAAGAAGGGTTTCAGTGTGTATGTGGAATCGTTGGAGCCCGATCTCTCATGGCCATGGTCATGTTCGCGCGCAGGGCTGTTGTACTCGGCACACGGCGAGCGCACAGCGCCGTGCAACTGCCCATTCCCATTCATGTCGGACCGGGTGTGTCGGTGGGCGTGGTCTTTGGCTGGCGACGATGTATTCATCGAGTTGTTTGCGTATGCCTCGGGCGTGTATTGTGATGATGAGCGGCCATGGCTGTGTGTGTGCGTGGTAGGGGTGACGGGCAGCGCATATGTCGACGCCATCTGCCAACGTCGCGTTCGTCGGTCCGCTGTGAGATGGTCTTGACTCGGTGAGGGCTATCGGCGAAGTGGGGCCCTCGGATTCGCGATGAAACGGTGCTCAATTGAACAAAAGTGGCGGTGTTGCAGGAGAAAAAGCAACGTGGGATAGCAACTCGTGTGGTGTAAGTGCGTTGCAATGAGGCTACGCAGCGCTTTGGCGTCTTGGTGTTTCGATAGCGGCGCGCGTTGCTGCACTATCAATAAGTTTCAGGGGTCTTACAGATTGACATGACTGTCATTGAGCGCCTTCCCTTTTCGGTCATACCCCGGTTCCGATCTCCGCATCTCGTGGCTGACCCTTGGCGTTGACGCACGCGGCGGCGGCCACGGTTATCGGAGGAGCCTTGCAATTGGACGGCACTAACACAACACCAAAATGTTCGACAACGATACTTCACCCGACAAAGACGGCAACCTCCTTTCCGTCATACTGGGTGTCGTTGTCACATTGTCGACGCTGTTCACGGCCCTGCTGTTGACTCTGCCCAGTCAGTATGATCCGTACAAGGACAAGCCGCTTAGGTTCGTGGGCGAGGATGGAAAAGAGATCAAGATGAAGATAAAAGATGGGAAAGACCCTGTAAACTGGAAGCAGGGACGTTCGGTACAGGTAGTGGTGCTGGGAGACATTGGGCGGTCGCCGCGTATGCAATACCACGCTCTCAGCATTGCTAAGCACGGCGGAAAGGTGTTTCTCATCGGCTATCAAGGTCAGTAAAGTCTCTATTGGATTGTTGCAAGTTGCTAAACCTGTCAAGAGTCGGATATCCTTCCAGATATCGTCTCGAACCCGTTGATTGAGATTATCCCACTCGCACCAGCACCAAGCTTCCTGCGTTCGAGCAGCAAGCTTCTGTTTCCCATTCTGGCGCCCCTCAAGGTCCTTTGGCAAATCTGGTCTTTGTACCGCGCGCTAGGATACCGCTCCAAACCTGCAAGATGGACACTTGTGCAAAACCCACCTTCAATACCAACGCTTGCCGTAGCCAGCCTGGTATGCTTCTTACGACGTACTGACCTGATCATCGACTGGCACAACTTCGGGTACACCATCTTGGCCATGAAACTTGGCGACAGTCACCCTCTCGTGAAGGTATCTGAGAAGTACGAGAAGATCTTCGCAAAGGCTGCATCGCATCACATCACGGTGACCAATGCCATGGCCCGTGTGCTAAAAGCCGACTACGGTGTCACAGCAGAAGCACTCCACGATCGCCCTGCCTCCATCTTCCAACCCATCGAATCTCAACAGCGCAAGGAGTTCCTCGCCAGACTACCGGAAACGACAGAGTACGCCGCAGATCTTTCTCCGGCCTCAAAAACACCCTGGAAACTCATCGTCAGCGCAACATCATGGACTGCCGACGAAGACTTTTCGCTTCTCCTTTCTGCTCTGGTTGCCTATTCCGCTGAGTGTACATCGAAGACCTACCTTCCAAAGATCATCGCCATCATCACCGGAAAGGGGCCACAGAAGGAGTACTATCTTTCCAAAATCCGACAACTCAACCAGCAGAAGAAGCTGTTGAATGTCGTCATCAAGACAGCATGGCTCTCGCACTCTGACTACGCTCTACTCCTTGCATCGGCTGATCTGGGGATTTCTCTACACACATCGTCTTCTGGCGTGGACTTGCCAATGAAAGTAGTCGACATGTTTGGCGCAGGCTTACCCGTTGTAGGGTGGGGAAAGTTCGAGGCCTGGCCTGAGCTCGTCAAGCAGGGTGTGAATGGACTAGGCTTTCAAAGCTATGAAGAGCTCGCTTTACATCTGGCTACATTCTTCGGCAGCGACACAAGACTAAGGGAGACTCTGAAAGAGGGTGCGCTCAAGGAGAGCGACCATCGGTGGGATGAAGAGTGGGACGGGGTAGGCGGGAAACTGTTCAAGCTGACATAGCGAATGTGTGGTCAAGCGTGGGCAGAGAAGATATGGTATAATACTACTTGGCTGCATCAGATGATGACAACCCGATACCTTCTAGTATTTGAGCTTCAGTTTCCACATTTACAAATGTACGACACGCGGACACGGACAACAACAAATCCCACCCGAATCCTGATAACAACCATGTTCGTTGCGCAGCAGCACTTCACCATCGACATAGTATCGACCGACCAATTCCAAACCTTGTGTGAGCTCATTGTTCCCCACAGTTGTCCTAGTGCTGCTTCTATAACTCTCCTTTGCCGAATGGAGGGGTGGCTGAAGGTGGGGACATAATGGCTTCAATTTCCCCAAGCTCTCTCCTCTGCGCCAGCTCTCGACTTGCTTTCTATCATCTTCATTGAGATTCAATGCACCAAGCTCTCCCGCCAAAGAACCAGGTGACGCCACTGCATTGAACAGAACGTCGCCAGTCCTCAATTCTGCGACAGAAGACTTGTCGCACCAAAGCACCTTCTCATGAAATTGAGTCATGACACTCCTGTATTGCGCGCGAGGGTGTCTTGGGTGCGGTGCCTTGTCCTTGACTTTGCTCCACAGCGCAGCCTGCTTGACTCTGTCGCCAGTACCAGCCCAAATCTTGATTCTTCGTTGTCCGCACGCATGGTATGATACATTTGTCTCGTAATCCGTGATGGCATCATCTATTTCTGTCATGCTTAAAGCTATGGCTTCGTCCTCGCATATTGTGTCGCCCCACATGATCGTGCAGTTCCCGTATATTCGTAGAATCTCTCGGTGCAGCGCCGTGGTCAGATCTTCAACGATTTTGAAGGATTGTAGCGGGCGGGTATGTAGTTGTTGGAAAACGTTTGAAGGCATCTCCACTATCCGACTTCGTGGTTTGGGAGCTGGGTATAGAGGCGATAAATGGTAGAGGGGTCAGAGGGGATTTAGCTTATATTAACGAGCGTAACGATAGCCGAGCTACCTTTGTAGAGAGATGGATGTATATGAGATCTTTGGTGTTGATTCTGATGAAGAAAGAAAGAAAGAAAGAAAGAAAGAAAGAAAGTAGCTGACAGATTTCTTATACTAAAAAGTGGGAGAACTGGATTGTGGTACCAACCATGAGAAAGTCGAAAATCTCGAATCGTGGTACCAGAACCAGGCAAGGTAAGTTAAGTTGAGAAAAACGGCAGTCATGATTCGAATACTGATGTAATTGCGGAAGGCGGAACATGGTCGTCGATAGAAACCAAATGACCAGAACGGAGGAAAGTGAGGTTTCCAGCGCCAGGTGAAAATGCGACCAATGAACTTGGTGTTGGGATTAAGCGCCTACCCGCTTCTTGGTACATCGAAGGAAACCATGATCTACCTCTGCCTTCTCATACGTCGCTCCAAATCTATCAATTGCGATACGGGGGTACTGACTAAGAACTCCAAGGCTCGTGCTCTGGTCTTGGTATCTCCGTAGCTGCTCTTCGAATCAAGGGCACCTACATCGATCACAGGCTCGGATTGGTCCTCCATCTCCACCATCCAGTACGTATAGGCAATTACTTACAACGTCTGTGCCTGTGCAAGTGGAGACTGATCATCCTGGTTCGAAACCCAGCGCAAAGCTCATAAGCCCGACCATGAAAATAGGCCAAAGGCAAGATCGAACCGTTTCATCGAGTGAACCACGTGCAGGCCCAAAGGAGATGGTCAAGTATAGAAAATTAACGAACATGGCAAAATTCAGAAGAGGCGGTATGGTAATCGAGAACGACGCAGGTCGACGTTATCGCGGTGTTTCAAGTGTGCTGGCTCGGCCCTTCCCTTCCTATCGCGTCGCTGCGGGCCCGGACGTCTGCATTGTCCGCGCCACCCCAGACCCTGTTTATCCCCTTATTGAGCCTACGTCTTCGCCAGCACACCCGCCTCAGCCACAAACGTCAATCCACGCTCCTTTCCCAACTCTCGACACCGCTTCAACAAACTTTGATCCTCTCTTTAAGTCCCTATTGCGAATTGCGCATTGCTCAAACAACTCTTCTTGTTCAAACATTTATTCACATCTTGCGACTATTTATAGTGCGACCCTTGCGAGCAATCAACCTCAGTTTCCCAACAACACACGCGACATGCTACCTCGATAACCCAACCTTACTTTGCAGCTGTCAGCTACAACCAAACAACAATGGATAAAATCAAAGATCGATGGGAGACTTTCGAAGAGAATCACCCTAAAATTCGCACGATTGTTGAGGCAGTGAAGCCCTACGCTCCGCCAGTAAACTTCATTACGATCCACTATGCATACTTCATCGGCGTAACCCTCGTGGGTACTCTGATTTTCTGGGGCGCATCGAACCCATCGAAGAGCATTGGATGGTGGGATTGCATGTTCATGTGCATGAGCGCAATGACCGCTTCCGGGCTCAATTCCGTGAACGTCAGTCAGCTCACGACATTCCAACAAGTGGAATTGGCGGTGTTGATGATGATGGGAAGTCAGGTACTGGTCAGCTACTTTACGGTCGCGTTCAGAAAACACATCTTTGAGAAGAGGTTCGAAGATATTGTTGAGGCGGAAAAAGAGAGGCGGAACGCCCGGAAGGGAGATGTTGGTGCTGTGGTCGGCATGACTGGAGCGATGTTCGGGTTGCCGGTTATGGGGTCGTTTGGGAAGGGCAAGGCAGGGAGTAAGACGAAGGGATTGACGAAGGTTGTGACGCCTGCGGAGAGACGTGTGGATGATATGCCGCCCAGCACACCAATTATGGAAGACCAGATTCAAACGGGGATGTCACCGATTTCGGTCCTCTCAAGAGAAAGGAGTCCACCGCAGCATATCGGTTTTCTGGACCCCATCCAAGAACGTATGTCTAACGAAAGGCCCATGTCAGCTGCGACAGGACATTCGATC